TGCAAACTTTGCTCATGCCACCTCTAGTAATAGTCCATTGGCTAAAGTAAGTCACATGGCCAAATTCAACTCAGTGGGGTGAGGAAATATAATCAGAACATGGGAGACTGAATAATTTGTTGAACTTTAGTGCATTCTGCTAGATCTGGCTTCCAGTGGGCTCAAAATGTTTAAACACCATAGTAATCAAAGACATTTCAATTCCTAATTTGAGAAAAAATATAATGATGGAAGCCTTACTATGTTCCCTAGGCTGGTCGTGAACTCCTGAACTCAAATGATCCTCCCACCTCAGCCTCTTGAGTGCTAGGATTACAGGCCTGCACCAATGTGCCCAGTGAAAAACATTTTTTATATATTTTACTGTTTTTATTTTATGTGTATGAGTGTTATGCCTGCATGTATGTAAGTGCACCCATGTTGTACAGTGCTCACAGAGGTCATAAAAGGGCATCAGATCCCCTGGAATTGGAGTTACAGACAGTTGTTAGCCATCACGGGGGTGCTGGGAATCAAACCTGGGTTCTCTGCAAGAGCAGTCAGTGCTTTCAACTGCTGAGCCGTTTCTTCAGGCCTGAGAAACAGTTTTTAAGGAAGGTAACAGGCATGGAGACTTCATGAAAATGTTAGAGAACCTTTCTTTGCTCATATCAAAATCACAAAGATGGAATAAAATTCAGACTCTTAAGTATCCCTCCAAGTCCTTATTAACTCCATGATACAAGCAGAGTAAATAAACAACCCAAATTTATCTGGCAAGTTCATTATGGTTCCCATGGCCCCGTGCATTCACAGCAAGTCCTGCCCTTCGCCTTCTTCTCCCCTTTCTAAACAGCTGCTCTCTCAGGATCCTGCTTTTTCTGTTGTTAAATCATAAGACAAGCATGGCTAAAGGGTAGTGAATGGTTAAGAGATTTGGGTTTTGATCCAGTTCCTTCTTCCATGACAGTGTGCAGGTTCTTACCTTAGTGAGCCTTGGTGTTTCATTTGTAAATGATAATAACTTGAAAAAGTAAAGCTTTGTGAGATGCTTAGAGCATGAAAAGTCATGATTAAATAGAAGTTTCAAGTAGTTCCTTCATGGCCCTTCAAAGCTAGCCATGAACTCTCCCTCCACTGAGCTCCTAGAAACTTATTCTATTAAGCACTGAGATAGTTTAGGAATCATGAATTCACATATCTAAATAGGCCAGGTAACATGATAATGTTAGGAACCTGTAGTGTAGTGTCTTTCATATTGCTATCTTGTGTGGTTTTTGTACCCCCACAGATTCACATGTTTGTGTATTTAAATGTGTAGGAATATTCTTCTCTAAACAAAGAAATGTATTCCAGAGGTTGTATTCAAAATAGTTAACAACTGGCCTTCCTCCAAGCCCCTTTTGGATTCTTCCTGGCTCTGGACCATAGAAAAAGTTGAGGGAGAATTGAGAGGAGTTAGGGGAGGACACAGGAAAGACAGACAGCACACAGGGACTCTGGCCACAGCTGTTTACAAAGCAACATGGGAATATTTCACACTAGTATATGTGGCCAACTGAATATCAGCTTTGGCTGTCCCATTGTTTTGTAAACATAGATTCTTTTTGACCAATCTAGTGTTTTAGAGAGACGTGAGTACAAAGAAATCAAAGCCTTTTATAAGCTCATGCCCCATCCAAAGCATGCAGACTTCATTCTAGCCAGATGTCATAAGCTAGCTTGAACTTCTAATTTTTCCAAAGAAGCTAGAGATGCACACTCTCATATTGGATCTTTAATGTTGGTTTTTAATGGTGAGTGAATCTCCATGCAGGCCGGACACTGTAACTGCTGGTCTAGTGAATATGTACGATATCCCAGGCCTACAAGAGCACAAACATCTGCCCAGAAAAGACCTGATCATTTGATGGACAGGAGGACAGACACATGAGCCACTTTATAGTGGGGTGGTATACACGATGAACTACTTTGCATAAGGAGTAACCTTTTCTTGCCTACGTATTTTGGCATTCCACCAGATTAAGCTTCCAGAGAAAGGAAGTCTATGCTTGATTTGCTCCCAGAGCCAAGTGCCTCCTTATAATCTTTTTTTAATTTTTTTTAAAAATAATTTCATACATGGGTATTGTATTTACGATATTTCTGTCCCTCCAAGTCCCCCTCCAACTCCTCCCACGCCCCCACCAACACCGTCTCAATTTCTTGTCCTCTACACTCATAATCCTTTTGATTGATTGATTGCCTTGAAGGCCACTTGCTTAATCTGTACAAATCAAATGAACATATGACAACCCACATAGGACAGCCATTTCAATTAAGTCACCCTCTCTCTGCATAATCAGTCTTGCAATCAGTACCTTGCAGACAGTAGGCAAGGACTAAACCCTCTGGAATAGAAGCAACTGGATCTGCAATACAGAAGTTGCTTAAAGTTGCAGCCCACATTCAGGAAGCACTGAAGAAAAAAAAAGTGCAGGTGCTTCCCTGGGAGACCCCTCCAGGGAACCTGCTGTGACTGGCACCTCCATTCAACCTTCATTCTCAGTGCCAACAGGACCTTTGGGTTCCTAGAACCAAGTGGAATACAAAGGCAGAGGCCAGGAAGGACTCAATCTGATTGTTGTGCTGGAAAACAAAACCCACCTACAGTTTCTTTGCCTTTGAAAAACCCAGAATACCTAGAAAATAGTCCTAACACAACAGTAGCTGTTAAAAGAAGAGATGTGGTTACAAGATAGAAGTGTGTATATGTGATTGGAAAGCAGAAGTGGAACCTTCCAGGGGAACACGGGGACTAGGGAGAGGGGAGAGATAAAGGAGCGGGGGGTGCATTGGGAGGGAATATGCTCGGTGTACAAGGCATTCTTGTATGAAAATGTCCTATGTAACATAGGACCATGCACAATGAATATACAATTTTCAATTTTTTCATAAAAATTGAAATTAAAAACTTAAAATTGAAAGAACTCATTCTTGTAAGAAAGCATCAGAAGAATGTTGTCTTCTGTTGTCAAAGAGAGATCCTCCAGTTTTACTCACAGTTCATCAAATGAACAAATATCTGTCATCACCTAATTTAATCAAGGTTGGATTTTTAAAGTGATCCTTTTATTTAAAAGTGCATGCTGGGCTGTCAAGATGGCACAGCTGGTAAAGGCGCCTGTCTCTAAGTCTGCCAACTTAAGTTTGATTCCTGGGACTCTCATGGTGAAAAAGAGAGAGCGACTCTTGAAAGTATCCTCTGACCTCCACACACACTATGGCAAAATCACACACACACACACACACACACACACACACACACACTAATAATAGATGTCAGATAGGTAGATGATAGGTAGATAGATAGATAGATAGATAGATAGATAGATAGATAGATATAGATAGATTGATAGAGAGATAGATGATAGATGATAGATAGATAGATAATAGACAAATAATAAGTAATTTGTAAAGTATATGCTCATTTGAAAGAAAGAATACAGAGGCTAGAGAGATGCTCAGCAGTTAAGAGCACTAGCTAGTCTTGCAGAAGACCCAGGTTCAAATCCCAGCACCCACATGGCTAACAATTGTCCACATCTCTAGTTTCAGAGGATCTGACACCCTCTTCTGTCCTCTGTGGGCACTGCACAACATGAGTGCACTTACACACATGCAGTCATAACACTCACACACATAAAATAACAAAAATAGATCAAGATTTTTTTTAAAGAAAGAATCCAAAGTGTGTAAGGTCAACTGGCCTGGTCAGATATGTCCACTGGTGCAATAGTTACACAGATATTATGGAAGTAACAAACCACTTTCTAATTGGATTTAAGGTCTGCTTTATAAGATGAAGCCTATACATTACATTGACATCAGGTCTAGAAATCTGCAGCTAGACAGGTCACAGGCCGTAAGGGAGAGCCTAATACTATTGTTCTACTAAACAGATATAGTATTAAACTGATTCCTAATGACTTATTGTTATACCCATGGATTAATGCATCTCTCAACTCTCACCAGAGAAGCTTCCTTATGCAACAGATGGTTAACACAAAAACCCACAACTGGCCAACATGCAGAGAATAAGATGCTGCAAAGTGCTTATCCCTGAACAGGACACCTATATCAAACTTCTGCTTCCCAAGGCTCAGGAATCATCATGGAAGATGAGGCAGAAAGATTTTAAGAGACAGAAGTGGTGGATGACCACAGTAAACAGTTTTCCAGACATCTGGACAATTACTCTATGTGCTCACAGCAATGGTGACAGCATGCACAAGTCCCATGTAATCTCAAGTCAAACAAAATCCCAGTATAGACATGGCGGGGGGCATCCCTATTTAAGGAACTACTGGCAACTGATGGATACTTGGAGGAGGAGTCAGTCTCTTTTAAGGGTGAAACTTTTCATTGGGGTGGGGTCTAGTAAGTGGTACAGATGGTGGAGGGGATCTAAATATGAACAAAATATCTTGTATGAAATTCATATAATTCAGTTAAAAATGAAAGCATAACAGAGGGGATGAATACGATCAAGTCAGTTATATGCATGTATGAACATGTCATGATGAAACCCCTTTGTACAATTGCTATATTCTACTAAATGAAAACCTATGCCTCCATGGAAAAAAAAGTAAAAATAAAGCTTTCTCCCATATCCCTCCTCCCCTCCCTCAACCATCCCACACCTATGTGTAATGACTACTAATAATCTGATACATCTCCTTCAAGGCCTTTTTTCTGCTCACTCAAAATACATACGTATGTTTATATGTGACTTTTCTGCCCTAAGAACTTTGAGATTATACTCTATACTGTTCTGTGACTTAAGGTTTTTCCTGTTCAGTATGTTCGCATGTTAACTGGCCCCAGTCTCCCTTAAAAACACTTATTTTTCATAATATTAATATACACTAACATCTTCTCTCACTCAAGAGCAGTTAATGGTCTCTCCAATTTCCCACCACAAACAGCACAGCAGTAAACAGCACCACTTTAGGTTTTAATTCACTTTTTCATTTTTGTAGGACTATGGAAACTGAAGTCATTGCAGAGTTTGGATCTGTCATTCAATGGAATATTGCAAATTGAGTTCTCTGATTTTCAGAGCTGCCTGAAACTGGAGAACATCTATTTAAAGAGCAACAAGATATTCAAAATTCATCCAGAAGCCTTCAAGGACCTCAAAAAATTACAGGTTCTAAAATCTTTGTTTTTAATCTGTCTTAAGTATACAGACATATAGGCAATTAGCCTAGAAGGCTATTTCTTTTGAAGAGCTTCTCTATGTATAGCTGTAGTGGCTGTTAATCAAAGCATCTAAGTCTATTTAAGATCTCCAAAAACAGCTCAAGTCTCCAGCACAGAAATCAAAGATCACAATGATGGACATGAACTTAATAAGAACACGCAACAGCAAGAACTGATGTATTGTGTTGGGGATGTAGCTCGATTGATAGAGTGCTTGCCCAGCATACTACACATCCTAGGTTCGATCCCCAGCACACACCTGTATTCCCAGGCAATGGAAGCAGGAGGATCATAAGTTCAAGTTTATCCCCAGCTACACAGCAAGTTTAAGGCCAGCCTGGCATGGGTAAGACCCTGTCTCAAAAACAAAACAAAACAATACCTGGTATATTAGTTTGCTAAGTCAAATTAAAATCTAGTTTGAAGTTTTCATTTACCCGTTGACAAGAAATCAAATTTGTTATTTAAGAAACCGTCTCTCTGTGAATCTCTGTGAGCTCAAAGCTAGCCTGGTCTATATAGTGAGTTCTAGGTCAGCCAGAGCTTACATAGTGAGACTTGGGGGGGAGGGGAGACAGAGAGACAGAGAGAGAGAGACAGAGAGAGAGACAGAGAAACAGAGGAGGGAGAGAGAGAGAGAGAGAGAGAGAGAGAGAGAGAGAGAGAGAGAGAGACTCCTTAAGCTGCAAGGTCAGTCAAAGGTAGTCCACTGCAAACTGGAATGCCCCTCTGATCCACTGTGACCAATGCTGAGATGTCAGCAACTCAGGACCCTATGGGCTGCTGCTGGCCAGTGACCCTATGGCTTCCATGCTAACACTACAAGGGATGATAAAAAAAATGATAGTAATTACAGCCCACACATGTGCAGCACTTAACACATGCTGTGTGCGGTTCTAAACACCACTGATGGTGATACTGCAGCTATCTGCATCACAGTTTACAGCTGGAAGTCCTACATGCAGTCTCCCTGAAGCTCTGATTGTGGTGAGGCTGAGGAACCCCCACAGCCCTGCTCCTCCAAGCACTCTCCACTATGCCTTTGTTTCCAAGAGGGCAGTGCGACAAATCCCTCAGCAATTCTTCAAACACAGCAGAAGGATCTTCAGTGAGGCCCCCAGAAACAGGTCGGAAGAATCTTCAGTATCCGTCTCTGTAACCTCCATCACACACCCCTATTCTCCTACAGGCCACTGCTGTTCATTAGAAACAACATGAGCTTCACATGCAATTTCAAATGTTCCTACTTGCCAGACTTAAGAAGTAAAACCTAGAATCTCCTTTTTTAAAACTTTCTATTTTTTTATTTTATTTTATGTGTATGGATGTTATGCTTGCATGTATGTAAGTATACCCATGTTGTGCAATGCCCAAGGAAGTCAGAAGAGGATGTTGGATCCTCTAGAACTGGAATTACAGATGGTTGTTGGTTGCCATATGGGTGCTGAGATTCAAATCTGGATCCTCTGCAAGACCAGCCATGTTCTTAACTGCTGAGCCATCTCTCCAACCACAAGAATTTCCTTTTAATAAGATGTATTATTTAACCCATTATAGAATCCTTTGCACATGTAATCCATATCCAATTTTTAAGGAAATATTTTATGTTCCCTTTTTTATATAAAACCTTCAACCCCTGTTCCTTGTTTTATACTCCTGTGTGGCCTCCACATTTGAATTACTCAGAGGCTGCTTGTGCCTAATAGCCGGCTGTCATGTGTGGCAGCATGGACAGAACCACAGGTGTTTTCCCAGCATTACATATAAGGTGCCACCGAAGCCTCACTGTAAGACAAGCCCCCACTCCCCTTTCAACCAGAGTGGCTCCCTGAGCACTCCTAGAGGAAGGAAGGTGGGGGAGCAGGGATGGGGTCCAGGCTAGGCTCCACCAACGTGCCATCCTCATCATACACACACGTTATCAAATACCTCTGTACCCTAATTTTCTAGGAACTAATAACTTAGTTCCTTGTGAAAATTAGCGGTTAAAATGTACATGAAGTGCTTAGAACAGAACTTGAGGTAACATAAACCCTACATTTTAAGTACCCAAATGTAATTTATGCCACTCCTAGTAGTTAAAATCCTTCCAAGATTTCACAGCCAGGGCCTGGCCCCTGCCTGCGTTTTTGGTCTTATTTCAAGCTGTTGTTCCCCCTCCCTTGTGCACTGATGTCCTGCCTGCTGGCACTTCAGGTCCCCTTTTCCCCCCACCTCTACCTTCAAGATCTAACTGGCATGAATCCTTTCAGCTTTTGCTTGAATATCACTTCTTCAAGGAGGCTTTCCTTGGTCACCCTTTTTCACAAGCTTATAACATGTCTATATGCTTCTTCATTGCATCAGTCCTTACACTAGCAAGGTTTGGGTGTGTTTAAGTGTTTATGCCTAGCTCTCTAACCCTAACACTGGATGGTAATCATGCTCTCAGAGAACACACATCATGCCTATTTTGTTTTCCAGTGCTTACCTGAGCATATTTGTTTTAATTTTTTTATTATTTTTATTTTATGTGTATTAGTGTATTGCCTGCATGTATGTAAGTGCATCCGTGTTATGCAATGCCCAAGGAGGTCAGAAGAGCACGTCTGATCCCCTGGAACTGGAGTTACACAGGATGGTTAGCCACCATGTGGGTACTGGGATTCAAACCCAGGTCTTCTGCAAGAGCAGCCAGTGCTCTTAACTACTGAGCCATCTCTCCAGTCCCTACTTGAGCATATTTTTTTAAACCTATTGAATAAACAAAGGGATGGATAAATGGACCATGCTCATGAGTAGTTGCATTGGTTATCTGTTGTTCTAGAATGACTTACACAGCTTAGCAGCTTAAAACCACACACACCCATTACCTCAGAATTTCTGTGGGTCAAGAATCCAGGCACTGTTAGCCAGGGCCTCTACCTTGGGATCCCTCAAGAGACTGCACCCATAGCCAAGGTTGGAGTCTCACCCAAAAGTCCAGTAAGAGTAGATTGCCCCCCCCCCCCCCAGCACATGTGGGGTTGGTAGGACTTGCTTCCTTATTGGGTTTTGAGCTGAGGGCTCAGCTCGTTTCCCTGTTGATTTAAGCCTGCCCCCAGGTTTCTACCCTGTAGCATCTTGCAACAGAGCTAGGAGTCTCTCTGGCATTCTCTGCTTTGGTAAGAAGAGCATTTCCATTTGGTGGATGTCATCCTGGAAGTGGCATCCTGTTGCTTCTACAGGAATCAATTGGCTAGAAACAAATCACAGGTCCCTCCCACACTGGAGGGAAGCTATTGCTCAAGGACCTGCGTACCAGAGGGCAGGATCACTGGGAACCACTTTGGAGTCTGTCACCATGGCAGACAGAAGACAGAGCTCACTTCACATGGCTGTGCTTCCTTTTTACCAGGACGGGTTGTCAGATTGTCGGGGAGCCTCAGCTAGCAAAGTGTATACAGATTATAGGTAGACCTGTATATAGGATTTGCCCTGTATCTTATTGTATTCTATGGGTCTTCAGAAGCTGGTACCACAGACAAACTAAAACCAGCTCTGAGCATGTGTTCAATACTGTCATGATTCTCAACCCACCAGAACCGAGAACATACAGCACTGGCTTTGGAACATGATGAAGCTATTTGGTACCAGGAATTTCAATATCATAATGAGTAGGCGGTGGTTCTTTAGGAAGATTAATTCAATATTTTTACTATTATATTTGTCTTTCCATGTAGGAACCTTTTCAGAAACCAAATACATTTTTAAAGCATAAATTCTTCAGCATGCTTAAATGGAATGAAATGTTTCACTGACATTTCAAATTAGCTTTTCTTTTCTTAATCTTATCTCATTCTTCTTAGATGCAGTGATTTGTGAGGCAATATGGTATGCATCTCCCTGTCTTTCCATAATATATGTGCTGTTCAAATTCTGGAAGATGGGCAATTTCTTTAGTCAAATTGGACTATTCTGTTTTCATTTTTTTCAGAAATTGTTCTTCTTGAATTATTTTACTAATTTTCTTTCCTTCAGTTTTGCTTTCAGTTCCATGATTTGCAATTTAAGAGGTTAAGATGCAAAAATACACGAAAAAGAAAATACATGGGCTGGAGAGATGGTTCAGCGGTTAAGAGCACTGGCTGCTCTTACAGAGAACTGGGGTTCGATTCCCAGCACCCACATGGTGGCTAACAATCATCCATAACTCCAGTTTCAAGGGAAATCCCACACTCTCTTCCAACCTCTGTAGGCATTGCATGACACAGGTGCACTTACATACATGCAGGCAATACACTCATACACATAAAATTTTTAAAAATCAAAAATAAATTTTAAAAAAGAAAATATGTACTTGGAAAACATCAGACTATTTCTATATATGACCGAGAAAAGGTACCCACATGGAAAAGCTTCTGACCCTGAGCAATGACAGGCAAAGCAAAGTGCTTTCCCCTAACCCCCAGCCTCCTGTCTCTTATTTTTGGGAGCCTACCTTTGGTAGTAAAGATGACACAAGAAGGTCAGGAAGAAGGGATGGAGGGAGGGAGGTAGGAGGGAGGGAAGGAGGAAGGGAAAGAGGGAGGGAGGGAAAGAAGAAAAAATTGACCTTGGTAACACTTAAACATTCTGGTTTTCACCTGTGGTCCTCTTTTTGTTAAAGCAAGCTTAGCCTTTTCCGTTTTCTGATTCCCTCCTCTCCTGTCACAGCCTGACTTTCTCCAAATGCCTCCTTCACTCTAGTGTGGTGCTCAGAGAGGCTCTGTTTTGTAGTGAAGACACACAACTAAGAGGTCAGATGACACCACAGCTCTGCCATCTAATTCTCTCGTTACTGTTGTTGCTTGAGACAGGGTCTCATGTAGCCCAGGCTAGTCTCAAACTGATTATATAGCCCAAGCTTGAACTTCTGACCCTCTTGCCTCTCCCTCCTAAGTGCTGGGATTACAAGTGTGCACCACCACACCTGGTTTATTGTTTCCATTCTTCACTGGGCACCCGTACTAATACAGACCCCTGTACTAAGGTGTATGTGGGATACATTGTGTGGTTTAGCTGAACTTCTTCCTCTGTAAAAATGAGGCACTGTGGGAAATTGTTGGAAGCATCTAAGATTATGTGTGTAGAGCACTCAGCAGAACTCCTAGTGCACAGCTCTGCTCTTCAAGCTGCAGCCAGACCTAAGGTCTTTTTCCCTGCCAAGCCACACATGCTATGTCCAGCTTCAGCACATGCTGGACTGTCACTAGAGCCACTGACTCACTTTTGTCCCCTCGTTTGCCCTACATTTCTGTTTATGCTCGAGAAATGAGTTTTCTTGCTGGTACTGAGCAACCATGAATACAAAGAACCACACCATTGTCTTTGAGATATTTCATAAAAAAGATGTCTCTTTTTGTCTATTTTTGGTCAACCACCATTCTCCTGTGCTGTGTCCTCACTTTTCAACATCCTCTGGCTACTTTCAAGGTGAAAGTAGATCTGCATTCAGCTCAAAATTTTAATAGCATGTGAGTCCAGGATTCATAGCAATATAAATTATAACACAGAAAAGCAGGAAGAAGTATTTAGGATCTAATATAGACTTAAAGCTTTTAGAAGTGGTTAAACCTGCAGCAACGCTGGGAGGTAGTTCACAGAAAGCAACCAATTGCCAAGACACAGAGGCTTATAACAGAAAAGAGATTTAAACCCAATGTTCTCTGACTTTCAAGCCAGGCCTGGATTTGTATTGCTTTCATAGAGGTAGAAATATGTTTGTGTAATTGGGGGGAGGGGGGCTTAATGTCTTTGTTCACAGGCTGTCCTAAATTTGTTTCTTCTCAAGCAGGTTGTAGATCTCAGTGGCAATGCTCTGACCACCCTCCTACCAGTGGTGAATATGGCTCTACAATTTCCCCACCTGGAGCTTGACTTGACTGATAACCAATGGAGGTGTGAGGACAGCATTGTGGATCTCCAAAATTTCACTTCTGAATCCTGGAGGGAAAAGTGGGATGTCATTTGCAACAAGTCTGTAGGTGAGAGGTGGCATCTGTTTTCTCTGAAATGGTTCATTTAAACTGGAAGTGCATCTAGGAAAGTAGTCTATGAGACAGAGACAGTCATGAGTGTTGGTCACTCATATGTCAGTGTATTGGTGGATTTACTCATTCATCCTTTCATTCAGCCTGCACCACAGGATAACCACTGACACTTCACTGTTTTTCTCAGTGCCAGATGGTTTTCTTCATATGGTCAAAAGCACTTACAAATAGAACAGATAGTGAGCTAGAATGCCAAATCTCAAAATTTCATCCCAACTATTAACAATGGGTTAAAGAAAGAATTTTCAAATCTGAAACATTATTGTAGATGCTTGCCCATCCTCTGACAACATGGGTCTCTATGTACAGAAGACAAGCACATGTTTCAAAAGTAAATTTTCTTTTGATTTATCATTTTCCCTCTTCCAAGTGCTAGAATGTATTGCATTACTGAAGTTGAACAATCTGGAAAGATTTTATCCCACTACTAACTACTTCGGAAAAAAGATTTAGGATAAAAGTCTTAGACTCTGACCTCTTCAGGCCTGCTATTAAAGCAGAGTCTTGGCCATGGCTACTGGGTTTAGAAGTCATCTCGGAAGAGAGGAGAATGCCAGCCATGGCTAGCATTCTGAGCAGGAGAGCATAAGAGAAAAAACCGAATGCCTTGCCAGCACTGGGGAGTAATGAGGAAATAATACTATAAGCCTGGCAGGAGCAGATGTAGTGGAGAACTGACAGAAAGTTCTAGCAAAAACAAAGTAGTTGAGGGTATGATGGAAGGAGAAGGCATATGATGTCCATCCCACCTGGCTTCTTCCTCCTGGGGACAGCAGTCATGCAAGAGACCTCAGAAACAACACCTCCTGGGTCTTTGAGCAGTAGGTCTACACCTTATAGTCATGTACAAATGTAGACAAAGCCATATACATGCTGTGGGCATTGGACAAAAATTAATTAACACATGAATGAACAAAATGACTTGTCATCTGATATATACTTGGGAACATAGCTAGCTAAAGACTGAGGAGGACTCACAGAAGCTTTGAAGCCCTTGGAGTCATACTCAGTATGTTTTCCATCTCCTACTTGCAGGGAACAAAGAGCCACATTTGGAAACTCCCAAAATCAGAATTCCCAGGGACACGCACCTTCCTCCCACTACGCTGAGTCACATCCAGAGCAAAGCAGAGAGACACCATGAAGGAATGGACACACACTTTTCCACCCTGGGGAAGGAGGCATGGGCAGGCTACAACAATCTCAGGGAGATGCGGCCACAGTGGGCCACAGAACTCAGAAACCCCAGGGCTGAACAAGCCACTAACAGAAAGGATGATGATTCCTCAAACCTCACGTTGGCCATCTGCCTGTCAGTGTTAATCACATTTGTGGTGGCTTTTTGCCTGGGTGCTTTTGCAAGGCCCTATGTTGACACACTGTGGCAACAAAGATGCCTGAATGAAAACCCTGGCTCAGGTAATGCCTATTCAAATGAGAGTTTCTATGATGAAATTGATGCTGCTAGAAGCACACAGGAGCACCAAGCAATAGATCTGCACCAAGTCTCCCACCATCCAAACCTCCACGAGAACCAGAACGCTTCCTGGGTGACACAGTGCCAAGTCTCCCACCATCCAAACCTCCACGAGAACCAGAACGCTTCCTGGGTGACACAGTGCCAAGTCTCCCACCATCCAAACCTCCACGAGAACCAGAACGCTTCCTGGGTGACACAGTGCCAAGTCTCCCACCATCCAAACCTCCACGAGAACCAGAACGCTTCCTGGGTGACAGAGTGCCCAAATACCACTGTCATTCCTGAAAAGGCTCTAAGAAACAGCAGAACGGATCCTGGCAGTCAGCAGAGTTCAGTGCAATATGAGGACAACATTGGAGCAGGAAGTAGAGATGACGCCATGCTTCAAAATGGCCAACTAGCCCATTCCACTCTCCACAGACATCCAAATGCCAATAATCACAAACTAATTTCCACAGTGCTGGACCACACCTATGATATTCTTGAAGAATTAAATTATGACACTGTGGACCGGGAATATTCTCTCCATGCGGGTTCAATGAATGGCTTTTCCATAGCTGGCCCACTGGGAACTGTCTCTAGCTCCACCCATAATGAATGGGGTGAATTAGAACTATCACACTCAAGAGAAGCGTCAGCCTCCCTCTCGAAGACTTTAGCACATACAAACGAACAGGGGGTTGGGGGGAGTGAAGAAAGAGGGTGGCCTGAACAGTCACCTTTGGAAACTATGGGCTCACAGACAGAAAGGCAGGCGAGCAATACTATCAGCTGGCTGAGCACACAGCAGCCAAGGTTCCATGGGGCCAGTGCTGAAGAAGGGCTCTCAGCCCTCTACAGTGAGGTTCCGCACGATGACCCAAGAGATGTAGATCCACCTGCCCTTCTATCAAGATGGTGCAGTGGCTCTGATGTCTCTCCTGCTACTAAGGAGCCAGGGATGAGAGACATCCCTTTTGACCCTCATTACAACTTGGAGACCAATTACTGTGAGTCTGATTCTGATGAGGGTTCTTTGTTTACCTTCAGTTCAGAGGGTTCTGAGGACACAAGGAGCTTGACTGAAGAGCAGGCACCTGGCAAGAATATTGGAGCCCACCAGACCCTGCACGTCAGGACCTCAGGAGACTATAAGGACAATGTGACATCAGCAGAAAGTGTTGAGGCCATCACTTTGGAAAGGACTCTAGAGAAATATGAAACTCAGGAAGATCACTCTGGAAACCCTCTCATTTCTGGTTCAGACTCTGGTTTGCATGAGACGCAGCTGGAAATTATGTCTAACACCAGTGAATCCCAGAATCCATTAACCCGGCCCAGATCCCCAGACTGTAGACCTTTACATCCTGAGACCCCAGACACATTTGTATGTGATTACGACATAATGCTCCAGTCCCAAGCAGTAGACTGCCATTGCTCACTTAAAGACTTAGAGTTTCCAAATGTGGGCACTTCACCACCATCATCAGCACATTCTGCTGAAGATCCCTCAGATCCTGAGGAGCCTTCCACCAAAGAGATGTAAATATTTGTAAATTAGAGGCTATAGCTCTATTAGTACAGTGTTTGCCTACCTTGCATGAAGCCCAGGGTTCAATCCCCAGCACTGCATAAATCAATCATAGTGACACACACCTGTAAGCCCAGCACTTTGAAGGAAGCAGGAGGCTCAGAAGCTCAAGGTCACCCTCCATTACATACCAAGTTCAAGCCTAGTCTAGACTATATGAGAGCTGTCTCTAAATGCATAAATAACCTTTTGTTCAGGAAACAGACTCAAAAAGCTCTTCCTCTTAGGATCACTACAGGGAAAAACTGAAGACACAAGATTCTCAAAAGGATCATCTGAATTCCACCAGATGGAAAATAATGTCAATGCATTTGTCCATCCATTAGAGGACTGTGATGTCAGACAGTTCATAAGCCAAATACAGTTGCTACAGTCCTGTGGTTATGATCTAGGCTTCAATGTAGATGGGGAGGAAGGGGCTATTTTGATGATGGTCTTAAGAACTAAGCACTATTGTCACAAAAAAAATGCTCTTCCACACCGAGTATTTTGGTGATAGAAACAAGGGTAAATAGTCACAGGAGCTGATTAAAAAAATAGTCACTGTTGCAGATAAAAAAAGTATAATAATAGATGATCCTAACATTATGCTCAAATGCAAACCCAATGGATACTGATTGTCTTTGTGAAGATTTGCTCCACTATGAAAAAGACAAAGACATTCAGCCTGAGAACCAATGGGAATTCAGGTCTCACTTTCAGTGAATGTTGAAGTATTTACATGGAAATGCTGAAGAGATTTCAATGACTTCTGCACGAAAACTGGAGCAACTTCTTGGAGGTTGATCATAACTTGCAAAATTGAAAGGGTTTGGAACAATTCTGAATATTTCAATAAGTTGTGTTATAAAAGAAGGACCGTTTTCTAGAACAAAATATAAATTAAAAATCAAATTTCGAGAGAAGTGATGTTTTCTGTAAAAGAAGGAGGTTGTCTGCCGTTGTCCTGGAGGAACCCTTCCCTAGAGTGTTTGGTCTCTCAGGCTGCCCTTCTGTTTGTTCCTCACCTTCTGTGAAGCATTTCTCACGTTCCTCCCTAACCCTCCTTCTTTACTTGAGTCTTGAATACGTATTTCTCAAAGATTTCCTTCCTTTCTTATGGCCCTTTCCCAGCACTCGAAACCTAAGTAGGACTGAAACAGGTTCTGCAGGGGAGGGGTAATAGAATGTTCTACCAAATGTGGACCTCACTGCCAACAACCAGCTTGAGACAGAAGATGTCAGGTGTATATGAGAAGGCCCAAGCTCTTCCTCAGACTCTAGGCTCACATCCTCAACTCCAGCTGCCCAAATGCACATGGATCATCCTGGAACCTAAAAGTCATCATTTTTCTTCACAAATATGATCTCTCAAATTTGCTTTCTTGATCAGCCCAGTAAACCCAGTTACAGCCCCTGACCTAGTTGTGACTCCTCTTTCATTTCATACAGCTGAGGCATCTCTAAGTACAAGCTAAGGGGAAGTTCCTGAATATCTAGGGGGAGACACTTGGCATGGAAGTCTGGGTGGGGGCTAGGCTAGACAATTTGCTTGAACCAGGGTTTGCATAGACAATGGAAGGCAATGGCGTTTGGAGAAAGGGCCCTAAGAGTCACAGTCCACTTCATGGTGTCACAACTAATCCTAGGGGATCTAGTGCTTCAATAACTCTCACAAGGCCTTGACTTTGTCCACCCCCTTCTCTAGTCCCCTCCCCCTGTCTTCTTACTCAGTTCATGTTCTTAGTAAGAGTTCTCAGGTCTCGGGCTGGAAAGATGTCTCAATGGTTAAGAGTACTTGCTGTTCTTGCAGAGAACCCAGGTTCTATTCCCAGCCCCTACATGGTGACTAACAACACTCCATAACTTCAGTTCCAAGGGATCTGACACTCTGTCTCTTCTGGCCTTTACAGGGTATTGCATGCACGTGGTGCACTTACATACGTGCAGGTAAAACACTCATGTACAGAAAATAAAAATAATAATAAATATTTTTTAAAAAGAGTTCTCAGGTCTCTTGGCTTCATCCACCACCCTGTTGCTAATATTTCCTATTTCTGTAACTCCAGCTCTGAAGTATTTCCCAAATTTTATGCTCACATCTAGTTGCCTATCTAATTTCAAAGTAAGCATAACCAAAATGAAGCTCAGTCTCTGCCCTAATTCTTCTACTCACCAAATCTGGTCCTCTGTGTCTCATCTCACTGTTTGCCCAAAGGCTCTTTCCAGAAGTCTAAGTCATTCTTTTGACTTTTTTCTTCTTGAATCCCCTGTTTAACTTCTTTGTCATTAGGTACAGTCAATTCCAGCCCTAACTATCTGTCAAATCTGTTCCATCCTTTCTGTCCTCACTGAAGCTTCAGTCCTCACCATGACACTCGCACCAGATCTGTCACCACAGCACACCACCAGCTCCTCTCTGCACATCCTGTATTAGCCAACACTGTCCAGGTCAACAGAGCCAATAGGATGTCTACAGATTCATAAGAAAAGAGTTACTGTGGGGAATTGACACCATGATTATGGAAGCTGAGAGGTCCTGTCATTTGCTCTTCCAAACTAGAACCCAGGTGAACCAGTAGCATAGTTCCATTAAAACAAGAAAACTTAAGAACTGGGGGAGCTAAAGCTGTAAATCCAAGTCTGAATTCGAAGGAGCACTGATGGCCAAGTGAAACATGAAAATGAAAATCCTTGAGTATGTCAGAGATTTTCTGGTCTCAAGAAAGTGTAACTCAAGGTCAAGGTGACCAGACCCTCCACTGAGTCAGTGACTCCAGGTCCTTTGTCTTTCTAACTCAAAGAATGATTTCCATATACAAAGAAGGATAAGTTCAAGAAAGAATTTTAATACAGATAGAAAACAAGCAGAGAAAGTTGAGGGGGCCTCCAGAGAGGGTTATCTGTGAGGGGTTTTGTCTAGGAGTCAATGAGGCTTTTATTACTAAAGAAGTAAATCAGTCTTTGAAATAACTGGGCTGAGATAAGAGGAGGTGGGCTGGTCAGGCCAGCTAGCCCAGCCGTAGATACCCACAAGGTGCCCATGTACCTCTCCATCCCTACACATGCCTTCAAGGGCCAATGAAGTATCTGATTACACATAAATTCTAGGTAGCTATACTTACTAGGTTGCTGTGCAAGAGAAGAGAGAGTTTAAAGAAGAAAAGAAAATAAAACCTAGAGCACAACAAAATCAGTGCCTCTGGCTAGAACATTTCCAGCAGGACAGAACTGCCAATACAACCGAGAACACTCCTGGCTTCTGGTTAGGACAGAAAGGTTAGTTTTGAGGTCCTCTATCTTAAAACTTACCCTACCAGACAAGTTTCTTTCTCATCACAAGGTCAGGAAGATGGAAGTTCCAGCTCAGGAAGAGAGAGAAAAATTCTTCCTTTCTCTGCCCTTTTGTTCTATTCAGGCCCTCAGTGGACTGGATGATGTGTGAGAGTGATATTCTTCACTAGGTCTACTGAATCAAATACTAGTCTCTTCTAAGAGGCAGTCTCTGACAGGCCCAGAAGTGATGCTTTACCAGCTATCTGGGCATCCCTTTGCTCGGTCAAGATATAAAATTAACTACCACACTCTCTATCCAATATCCTTCACAGTGGAAGCAAAGTGATTGCTAAGTGCATGTATGATGGTGAAGCTTGCCAAATGGTCTATCACAAACTATAGACTGTATTTCTAAAGCTCCGCCTAACTCTGTCCCCAGATCTTTGCCCATACAACCTCTGCCCAAATACTCTTTCCAAATCCTCCAAATGAGCCTCCTTTAGCTGACTAGCACCCACACAGGTCTTGACTTTATTGTTACTTTCTCAGGGAACTGCTGGACTTACCCTAGACTAAGTTAGATTTCCCCATTACAACTCGACTACATACCATTACTCTTCCTGTAGGAGAGTTTATCACAAGTAAAGTTAAACAATTGTGTGACTATTGACTTAATGTCTGTCTTCTCCTTTTATACTAAAAGCTGAGAAAAAAAAAAAAAACACGTTTGTGTCTCTGAGGTTCTTAATATATGTATTTACTGAATAAATAATGGAAAAGCAATCGCTGTAGTATGGAACATGGACTTCCATGATTGGTCTTGTTTCTCACCTAGTTTACATGTCATTGTGCCTTGCCTGGTTTGACATCCATGGCCAAGCCAGTCATATCAAGCTGCTCACATTTGCAAACATCAGCCTGCATCATTCACTATGCCTGGCTCTGCTGCAAGTCTATTTTTGAATTGTTTGACTGATGTCTCCAGGCCCGGGAAAATACTCTTCATTCAACACTCTGTTGAAGGACTCATCTGTTCCATGAGCGTTTTTCTCCTCATCCCACCCAGAATTGATCAATTCATCCCCCCCCAATACACATACACATTGGGATATATGTATCGCCAATGATGCAATAGCAGCACTTTTATCATGGGGGTAACCAACAGCTACCTAATTAGGCCTGCTCAATAAGGAGGAAATTCATGCCTGGTACCTAGCCAAATATCCATGGCTGGAGAAGTCATTGACCCTAGAGAAGAATGTACTACTACCATTTGTCTAGACAAATATAATTTTTAGCTATATTCTACATACTTATCCCTAAACCCAGAGCTAAGTATAGCCCTCACCCCTCATCAAAGAAGCTTCTTTTTGAAACAGTTGGAGACTATCACAGAGATCCACAACTTGTCAAAATACAGAGAAAAAGTGACTGTGGGCCCAACCCCAAATGATATATCTACAATGCAACCCCAACACCTAAGGTTCAGGGAACATCATGGAAGAGAAGGTGGAAAGATTGTGAGCCAGAGGACCAGGACACCTGCTGCTACACACTGTCTTCTAGACATGACAGGGAAGCTGACCTGTGAAATCTCAGCAATATGGTTTCCTATACCAAACCTACATAATGACAACACCAGTTTGACATATCAACATGGATGGGGAAAATTTTACAAGGTCTCACCCCTAGATGAAGAACTCCAG